AGTTGAAGAACAACTAAGAAATATTTTCACAAAGACTAAAAAGGTGCAAATTGATTGTTTATATAATAAATTAAGCATGATTAATACCTATACTCCAACTTGAGAGAGAGTTACATGTTTTTAGACTAAATATTAAGATTAATATATATTTCATTTAATGTAGTATATTATATAATTAATGCAAGATATAAAATTTCATATTATAGGACGTTTATATTTTTTATATAGATAGCCATAATATTGATAAATAAAGAGTAAACTACAGGGTGATTACTAAATTATTATCTATTTTCATTTTGGTCATTAACGTTTTGATTTGATCAATTTGATCACCCAACTATTTAAATGATTCAATCAAGCCGCTGATCGTTAAATTTTAACAGATGTGGTGACGTGACAGTTAATAAAATTAGCATAATTATATATTTGGTACTTAATATTTACACATTCTATCAATTTAGTCATTATTTTAACTTAATTAAATAAATTTAACCCTCTAATCCAGAGGTGCCAAGTGCCAGTAGATTATTATGAAATATTTCCAAGTGACACGTGTCACTATATAGTTGGAGGATTAATTTAATTAATTTAAATATTTTAATTAAATAAATTTTCCCACCAATCAAGAAGTGACACGTGTTATCACATGTGCCACTAGGCCAAGCCATCCATTTGGTTTCAAATTGCACCATCTTTTATATGTTGTGTTTAAGATTATTTCACACACATATATGTATTAAATTATTAAAATAAATCTAATAAATAAATTATAATGCATATATATTAAATTACAGTTAATGCAAGATTTAAAAATAAAAATGAATATAATATTTTAATTTTTAAATTAAATTATTTTTATTTTGTGATTTAAAATTCTCTAAATAATTTTTAATATAATGTTTTTAATATAATTTATAAATTATTATTTAAAATAATTTAAATAAAAATATTAAACTCATTTTTATTTTTAAACCTTGCATTAACTATATATATATATATATATATATATATATATTAAATATAATTTATTTATTAGATCAGTTTTAATTATTTAATATGTGTGTATGAAATTATCTCAACCACAATATATAAAAAATATTGTATAATTTGAAATCAAATGGAAGGCTTGACTTAGTGGCAAAGGTGGTCCTAAGGACCCCTTTGGACCTTTGGTTTTTGGTCTTTGGTCTTAATCCCCCTAACATCACTTCTATTCTAATTTGTTTTTCCTTTACACATGCGGTGACACGTGTTACTTAAAATATTAAAATTAATTAAATTAAGCCTCCAATCATACATTGATACATGTCACTTGAAAATATGTAATAATAATCTGCTGACATGTCGCACCTCCGGATTGGTGGGTTAAATTTATTTAATTAAATAAAAATAGTGACTAAATGGATAGGATATATAAATACTAAGGATCAAACATATATTTATGCCAATTTTATTAACTACCATGTCACCACATTTGTTAAAAATTAACGGCCAGTGGCTTGATTGGAGTATTTAAATAGTTTGGTGGTATGATTGATCAAATCAAAACGTTAGTGGTCAAAATAAAAATGGGCAATAGTTTAGTGATCACCTGTGTAATTTATCCGTAAATAAAATACGTGAAAGCATTTTATTTGAGGGGAATATATGCAATAATTTGCTGGGGTTATGCAAGAAGGTAAAACAGGCATCGCTATATGGCAACCGTAGAAAAGCCCCGTGATAGTTGATCATAATCACCAAGTCGTTTTCTTTGGCCTGATAGAACTTCCCGAGTAAACTTTGGAATTTAAGAGAGAATTGTCAAAACATGAACATAACTAAGAAGAGAAACTAACTTGTTAAGGATTTAGATTAAGATGTTCAATAATTCCTTAATTCGTACATCAATCACTCATCTAAGTAAACCATAGAATTTAAAGAGCAAGTATTTCATCAGTATAAAAGTACGTATTTGAAAAGGAGAAGAAGCAAACTGGAGCAGACCCAGTTCCCCAACTACTATGATATTGGCATATCCGACTCTAATTATGATAATCTTCATTGAATTAGAGAGTTGTTTAACCCCCACAAGAGTTCATTGCACATATAAAATACCACAAAGCATGGAACTTGAAAGGAGTCGAACAAGAAACAGAAATTATAATAAAAACAGTAAAAAAAGAAAACAAAAGAGAAAAACATGATGATTCGGAAAAGGAAATATCCACAAATTTCAATAATGACGCTATATGAAACCTCATCGAGATAAAATATCAACTTTTAGAAATCTATGATCTACTTCAATCCCAATACCAATAGAAATCATCGAAGAGAAATTCCCGATATTGTTGGGGTTCAAGAGGCTGACGAACCAGGTATCTATTGGTTTGCCACTTACGGTTGGAAGGAACAAGCTAGGGGTGTTCGGATTTGTCCAAGACAAGGTGAATCAGAAGATCTATGGGTGGACAAAGAACCTCCTTTCTTGTAACACCTTAATCTAATCCGACCCGAAGATCTATGATTTCGATGTCACACGGAATTACCGAAATGGTCAACCTGAAAATTCCTTTTCAACATAATTTTTAATTATCTAAATCATCCATAATATCATATGCGAAATCGAAATAAAGTTTTCAATTACGGGAGTCTCCCAAAATACGTACAAAAACAACCATAGAGTTAAAATCAAAATAGAGTTATTACTCGAATACTCAATGTCCATATGGAATACATTCTCACTACAAATACTCAATACATACTCTGCAAGTCGTCAGGTTTGGAATGAACAAATGCGATAGGCTCCCTCAACGATCCTCTATTAACCTGCGCATGGAAACACATTCCATATGCTGAGCTCACAAGAGCTCACAAGCTCAGTGTCACGAAAATAACTCTGCAATACTACATGTATTCTTTACTTGAACATGTTGGCGTACAAAGTCATAAACATGCAGAAATACATAACAATCATGACATAGGTAGAGTGGTGTGGTCGGAGTAATTTACGTGCATCTCGGATGACACACTAGCCTATCTAGAACGTGACAACTTCGTGGTAAGAACCTGAATTTATGTGCATCACAACTTTAAGCCCTTAGTCTACCTCGAATCCTCGAGAGGTCAGGATGACGTCCGAAATTTACGTGTATCGGAAGTTCACATCTCGTACCTACTCGAGCATAGGGTACGATTCTGGAATTTACGTGTATCATAATTTGTACTGGTACAACTTGAATTTTACGTGCATCGGATGCATATCAACAAATAATATCCAAATATTCATAAACAAAGGAAGATCTTCGTAATGCTAGAGTGACTTGGGTGTCCTAGACGTTTTTTGAGCATCATACAAAGACAAATCTTATGTCATCCTATCATGCTTGGTTTCTATGTGAGAATTGAGTTAATTTGTTTGCTTTCACTTGCATTTAATACTTAAGGCATATACGAACTCAACCCACCTAATCTCAAGCACCCAAACAATTTAACCAAAATTACCTAAAAATTATCGTGGGTATAGTTGTACCGATACACCCCTAGGGTATCGATAGTCACCCGAGTACTGATACTAAATTTAGCTTCGATGTTTTAAAAAAATGCTTTTGTATCGATACTCCTATAGGAAGTATCGATACTCCCATGAGTATCGATACCAAATTTGGCTTTGATGTTTTAAAAAATGCCTTAGTATCAATACCAACCCTCTGAGAATCGTTACTGAACCCTGAGTATTAATACCTCTTGAAGGGGAATCGATATTTTTTTCCTTTCATGAAGAACAATATCGGTATTGTTCTTACAATACTGATATTGAATGACCTTGGTGCTCTATTTTGAGCACGAAATCATGCCCAAAACTCACCTATTGACTTCCCTAAGATTATTAGATGTTTCTAAAGTCTTATTTGAAGTCTTAGAGGTCAAAAAGTATCAAAATTATTACTTGTAACACATAAATACGAAATATGCCATGGATTTACTCTAGCATGCTTTTATTAAATTAACATACCAAATATGCACATTAAATGATCTAGATGTGGTATAAACAAGTCAAAATCGTGTTACCTTGATGCTTAGTGATTGAAAAAAATGTCATTGAATCACCCAAGAGTTAGTTTTTCCTTACGTCTTGCCTTTGAGCTCTCCCCCTTGTTGTTGCATTAATAAAAGTCATGAAAAATGAGTTGTTAGCTCATTTTAATCCTTAGAAAAAGCCAAAAAGGTTTCCTTACAATTTAAATCTCAAAAAACGACCCAAAACTTAGTATTTCATAAACCCCCACTAAAACTCATTTTGGTTATCTATGTCAAATCTTACAAAAATAGGTTTGAATTAAAGCTTGAAGGATGAAGGTTGTGAATCTTACTTAGAATTCACAATGCATGCTTGAATTTCTTAAAGCTTCTAACTTTGCTTGGTTCTTGAAAAGAATGGAAGACAAAGAAAGGAGAAGAAGAAGACAAACATAGGGTGAAAAAGAGGAGGTGCAATAGACGTGATATCATCAAACAATTAAGGGATTTCAGCCTTTGTTTGAATAACTGGGTTAATTACTCATTTGGTCCTACCACTTTCATGCTAAGGTTAATAACACCCCCTTTAAGGCTTATTGGGCTCAACGCAGGGCCAAATCAAATCCATTTTGGTCCAAAGCTTCCTAAACTATAGAGGAATTATTCCAAAGCCTGAACGAATAAACCTGAAACTCTTAACTTGTAATTTGGGGCGTTACAACTTTCCCCTCCTAATAAGAAATTCGTCCTTGAAATTTACTTAAATAGAGAATGTGCGGATATTGATGTTTCATATCCTCTTTAGGTTTCATGTCGCCTCCTCTACGACTGGTTTCTCCACAAAACCTTTATTAAAGCTATACTCTTATTTCAGAGTTCCTTGATGTCTCTAGCAAGGATTCAGATCGGTTCTTCCTCATAAGTAAGATCTTGCCTTACTTCAACTTGTACAAGGGGAATAATATGAGATAGATCGGATCAGTATCTTCTAAGCATGGAGATATGAAACACATTGTGAATGTGCTTTAACTCTGGAGGCAAGGCTAACCGTAAGCCACAGGCCCAACTCTCTCCAAAACCTCATATGGTCTAATGAATCGAAGAGTCAACTTGCCCTTGCATCCAAACCGAAGTACATTTTTCCAAGGGGAAACCTTGAGAAATAACTTATATCCCTCTGCGAACTCTATATCCTTATGATTCATATTAGCATATGACATTTGTCTGTTAGAAGCCTCTTTCAACCGACTCTGGATCAACTAAACTTTCTTTTTAGTTTCTCGAATCAAGTCGAGGCCTACTATATTGCCTTTGTTGAGCTCCGTCTAACACAATGGAGTTTTGCACTCGCGCCCATGCATATCCTCAAAAACCTGAATAACGCGCTCAGATTATCTACCTGTATGAGGATGAAGGCAATACTATAATGCAGTTTAGTACCCAAAACTCCATGCAAGGCATTCTAGAGTATAGAGGTAAAGTGTGAATCTCTGTCAGATATGATTGAGATAGGGACTCCATGCAATCTCACAATCTTGCGGATGTACAATTGAGCTAATCTATCTAACGAGAAGTCCACTCAGACTAGAAGGAAATGAGCAGGTTTAGTCAATCGATGTGCTATAAACCACACGGCATCATGCTGAAATCTCATCATCAATAGACCGGTTACAAAGTCCATCGTCACTATCTCTCATTTCCACTATGGAATCTGAATCAATTGTAGCAATCCTAAGGGAACCTGGTGTTCTGCCTTAAATTTTTGGCACACTAAGCACTTTGTAACAAATTCATATACTTCTCTCTTTATGCCCGACCACCAATATAATAGTTAAAGCTCTTAGTAAATTATATTGCTACCTAGATAACGGAGAGGGGACTACAATGCACCTCATGTAGGATCTTGTCACAAAGCTATCTGTCGGATGGCACACACAAACGCCCTCGAAAGTACAGTACTCATCCATCGCGTAACTCAAAACCTGGGGCCTCACCTCAAAGGACTTGTTCTACTGGGTCTTCAAACAGTCGTCTAAACTTTTCAATCTCTTAACTTCGCCCACTAGCTTGGGTTCAACTCTTAGCTCAGTTAGCAGACAACATGGATTTGACAAACTTAGATGCGCTAGTAAAGTTCTCAGCTCTACTACGATATTCTTGCTCAATCCATCTGCAACCATGTTCACTTTACCTGGATGATAATCAATCACACAATCATAGTCCTTTAGCAGCTCTACCCATATTCATTGCCTCAAGTTCAACTCTTTTTGGGTAAGTAGATATCTAAGGCTCATGTGATCTGTAAAGATGTGGCACTTCTCTCCGAACAAGTAGTGCGTCCAAATCTTCAAGGCAAAAACCACTACGTCAAGATCCAAATCGTGGGTAGTATAGTTTCGTTTGTGAGACTTTAGCTGACGGGACGTATATGCTACAACATTTTCTTCTTGCATCATGATGGATCCTAAACCATTTAGCAACCCATTGCTAAAAATTGTTAAGTCTTTACTCTATTCCAATTACGTCAAAACGGGGGTCTTGCGTGAAGATCTCCTTCAGCCAGTCGAAACTCTCTTGGCACTTCTCATTTCATAAGAAATGAACTCCCTTTTGAAGTAACTTGGTCAATGGTGCTGCAATCATGGATAATCCATTGAAAAAACGATAGTAATACCCTGCTAGGCCTAATAAAATACATATCTCAGTGACATTCTTATGATGTTTCCACTCTAACACTACCTTGATCTTATGGGGATCCACTCGAATGCCATCGGATTCTGATACATGGCCCAAAAATGACACTTTGGTAAACTAGAATTCACACTTCCCAAACTTGGCATAAAGTCAGCATTCCCGAAGTGTCTACAAAACAATACGGAGCTTCTGGTCATACTCTTCCTCGAACTTAGAGTACACAAGGATGTCGTCGATGAAAACTACCAAGAACTAATCTAAATGAGGATGAAAGACTTGGTTCATCAAATCCATGAATATTGATTGGGCATTGGTAAGTCCGAAAGGCATCACGAGGAATTCATAATGGTCGTACCTTGTTCTGAATGTTTTCTTGGCAATGTCAGCATCCTTGACTTTCAATTGATAATACCCTAACCTCAAATTGATCTTGGAGAACATACATGCACCCTTAATTTGGTTGAACAAATATTTAATTTGAGGGAGAGGATAGCAGTTCTTGATGGTTAACTTGTTCAGTTATTGATATTCGATGCACAACCTTATCGACTCATTCTTCTACTTGAAAAAGAGAACCGGTGCTCCCCAAGGTGAAATGCTCGGTCGGATGAAACACTTATTGAGAAATTCTTGAATATGATTATTAATTTAACTCTTTCAAATTTTTCGATACCATGTAATAAGGTGCAATGGATACTGAGGCTGAACCTTGTAAAACCTCTATGTCGAACTCGACCTCATGGACGGGTAGTAGCCCTGGTAACTCATCTGGAAACACATCGGACAACTCTCGAATAGAACGAATATTCCCAAGCGTCATAATGGAGACTCACGTATCCACCACATGAGCCAAGAAGGCTTCCCACCCTTGACTCAACATTATTTGAGCTTTGATCCCAATAACGACTTTAGTAGTGCAAACCGAACTCCCACTGGTTATCACTACCTTGGTCCCATCGTACTTGTGAAGTTTGAGTCATTTTGCCTTACACCTCAAACTTGTGTCATGCTCGGTAAGCCAGTTCATGCCTAAAATCACATCGAACTCTCGAAATGGTAGTCTATCAAATCAGCTAAGAAAATCTCACCGTGAAGCTTTATGGGGCAACAGTGGTGAACCTTGTCAACCAAAACATCTAATCCTAGGGGACTAGACAATTTTCTCTATTTCCAAATCCTCGGTTGGGATATTCCTCTCTCGAACAAGGTCATATCATACATTAGAGTGGATGGAACCATTATCTACTAATGCAGTAACATGAATGGATAAAACTATAAAGATACCTTAGATCACATCAGTAGTATCGCACTCCTCCTGGGCACACACGGTATACTAGCGTGATGTTACTCGGGACTCCTACACAGACTCTGATCTAGCAGTTCCTAGACTATACTTTCCTGAAGCGACTCCGCCACCCTTGAAAGACCCTCAACCACACTGAACAGTTGGTGCAAACCTCTAAGATGATGTAGGGGTTGAGCTTTGAACTCGTGGATAATCTTTGACAAAATGGTCCAAAGACCCACAACTAAAATAACCTCATGTCGCTCAATAACACTCTCCAATGTTTTTACGCCTACAATTCGGGCACACTGAGTGAGATGGTGTTGTCTAGAATCTGTTGGCACTCGATCCAGAGGCTAATGATAAGGGTCTCCTATGAGAGTCAAACCTACCCCCGAAATCCAAACTTCTAACTGCTCCTCTAGACGACCCCGATGACGGTCTCTATAAACCCTGAGGGCCCTTGGCCCACTTTGCTAACAACGGAGATGGCCCAGTAATCCCTAGATCCCTCTCACTCTCTCCTACTGAGTCTCTCCCCTCGTTAGCTTTCTTGAATAGAATTCTCTCGACTGCCTTAGCCTGGCGGGTTAGATCCTTAAATTCACGATGGGGATTAGCAACTAACTAAGTCTGAATATCTAAGTGGAGTCCATCTCTAAACCTTCTGTAGCGATGAACCTTAGTGGAAATAAGCTCTGATGCATACTTGATCAGCCTGAGAAACTCCTTCTCATACTCAAGTATTGTCCGGTCGCCCTGGGTCAAATGTAAAAATTGGGTCTCTCCAACTCCATGACCAACTCTATGTTCTCTCTCCAATCAATCGTCTCACCTTTCACAAGGGAAGTGACGTACTCTAACATACCCTAGGGAGTGATGTACAACTGACGAAGGGTATAGAGCATCTCCTAAAGCTACTGATATATATAAATAGGATCGTCATCCCTAGATCCATATAAATTGATTGTTCTATAACTGCAAAGTCACTCGACTAGAGACTCTTGCGGTACTACGACAGGCTAAACCGATGGTGCAGGTTGGGAAGGAGGCATAGCAGATAGATTCGGAATAACACGAACTGTCTATCTAAGAGTCAAGGTTAGATCGTGAAAGAAAGTATCCTCATCTACTCCTACATTCACATACATCTCATGCTTAGAATTTGGGGTAAACTCAACGCCAAAATCCTCGGCGAAGGAGGCGCAACTCTCATCCTGACCTTCTTGGCCAGGAACATCATCGTCAGTCATAATTGAATCCTACAATAAAAGAAAAGAGATGTCACTATTGACATTCAAGAATCTTAAGTATTTTTGACACTCTAGGGGCAGGTACTCACACAGACACTTATTGACTCTAACCCACAGGTCATATGAATAACTAAACATGGACGCTCTGATATCATAAAATGTAACACCCTAATTTAGTCTGACCCGAATATTCATATACTTTTATACCACACGAAACCACCGAAATGGTCAACCTGGAAGTTTTTTTCAAAACAGTTTGTAATTATATAAATCATCAATCATATCATATGTGAAATTGAAATAAAGTTTTCAAATACGATAGTCTCCCAAAATATACAACCATAATCAAAATAGAGTTATGAATAGAATATACAAGGTCCATATGGAATACATGCCCACTATAAATACTCAAGATATACTCTTCAAGTCGTCGGGTCTGGAATAAACAGATGTGATAGGCTCCCTCTATGATCTTCTACTAACATATGCACAGAAACACAATTCAAATGATGTGCTCACAAGCTCAGTTACACGAAAATAATTATGAAATACTTCATGCATTCTTTTCATGAACATGTTGGTGTGCAAAGTCATAAACATTTATAAATACATAACAATCATGAGATAGGCCAATTGGTGTGGTCGGAGGAATTTATGTGCATCGTAGAAGACACACTAGCCTATCTAGAACGTGATAGCTTCAGGGTAAGAACTGAAATTCACGTGCATTGGAACTTTAAGCCCTTAGTCTACCTTAGATCATCGAGAGGTCGTGGTGAGGTCCAGAATTTACGTGCATCGGAAGCTTACATTCTGTATCTAGTCGAGCATAGGGTACAAATACAGAATTTACGTGCATCAGAATTCATACCGGTACGACTCAGGATTTACGTGCATCAGATGTGTACCAACAAATAATATCCAGATATCTACAAACAAAGGAAGATCGTCGTAATGCTAAAGTGACTCGGGTGTCCTAGATGTTTCCCGAGCATCATACAAAGGCAAATCTTATGTCGTTCTATTATGATTGGTTTCTATGTGAAAATTGAGTTGATTTTTTTCTTTCAATTAGAATTAATACTTAAGACTTACATGGACTCAACCCACCTAATCCCGAGCACCCAAACAATTTAACCAAAATTGCACAAAAATGACCATGGGTATCGATACTGCACTAGCAGTATCGATACTAACCCTCTAGGGTATCGATACTCACCCGAGTATCAATACTAAATTTAGCTTCGATGTTTTGAAAAATGTCTTGGTATCGATACTCCTATGGGATGTATCGATACTCTACCCTGGGTATCGATATTCCCATGAGTATCGATACCAAATTTGGCTTTGATGTTTTCAAAAATACCTCAGTATCGATACCAACCTTCTGAGCATTGATAATGGACCTCGAGTATCGATTCTCCTTGAAGGGGTATCGATACTGCCCTTGTAAATACTTGATTTTTGCCTTTCACGAAGAACAATATCGATATTGTTCTTACAGTATCGATATCGATGGACCTGGGTGCTCTATTTTGAGCACGAAATCATGCCCAAAACTCACCCATTGACTTCCTTAAGAGTATTAGACGTTTTTAAATTCTTATTTGATGTCTTAGAGGTAAACAAAGTATCAATTTTCATGTTTGTAACACACAAATAGAAATATACCATGGATTTACTTAAGCATGCTTTCATGAGATTAACATAAAAAATATGCACATAAAATGATCTACATGTGGTATAAACAAGTCAAAATCATGTTACCTTGATTGTAAGTGATTGAAAAATGTCCTTGAATCACCCAAAAGCTAGTTTTTCCTTGTCTCTAGCCTTTGAGCTCTCCTTTTGCTCTTGCACTAATCAAAGCCATGAAAAATGAGTTGTTAGCTCATTTTAACTCTTAGGAAGAAGCCAAAAAAATGTTGTCTTGCAATTTAAATCTCAGAAAAATGACCCAAAACTTAGAATTTAAAAAACCCCCACTAAAATATGTTTTTGGCTATCTAAGCCAAATCTTACAAAAATGGCTTTGATTGAAAGCTTGAAGGATTAAGGTTGTGAATCTTACCTTAGAATTCACAATGGAGGTTTGAATTTTTTAAACCTTCAAACTTTGCTAGGTTCTTGAAGAGGGGGGAAGACAAAGAGATGAGAAGAAGACAAGCATGGATAGTAATAATACGCTTAAGACTAACATGGTATTGATTGATGACAAAGAGTTGTCATTGACATAGAGATGTCAAAATTAATACAAGAATATATTGTCAGAGAACAATATATTGGATTGACCTGATATGAGCATATGTCTTGGATTATTATGTGATGGTCACGATATTGCTCATAGTGACAACTATATGTATAATCCTTAGACTTGAGATCATTATAATCTCAACATATATTGTTGTATGTTTTAATAAAGTTAAACATGCTCCATAACTAGTTGCACTATAAAGACTTACATTGAATATATCACGATATATGTAGCAGGGTGTGAATGATCGAGATAGGATTTGTCCTTTCTACATAATAGAAAATATATCACAGGCCACTTATTGAGTGAGACTAGAAATGCATGGCCATGCTCGAATAAGTTGATATGAGATATCACAGATTATTTGTTTATTATAGTCTACTCTATATATCAAGAAATAATATATAAACTACACAAGTGTGACTGTTCCAAGATTTGT